AGCAGCTGGCGGACAAGCGGAGCGGCGGCGGCCTCCGCGGGCGGGGTTTGAGGGAGACACGCAGCGGGCGCGGGGGGCGCTCGGGGCCTCGGTGGGGGGCGGTGACCACGCAGGCGTGTGCCCACGGAACACGCGCAGGCTCTGAAGTTAGGATTTGTGCAGTTTATGGTGTGTAAAATATCGCCCCCCCCGAACGTAAAACAGCAGCCACGAAGGACACAGTCCAGACACTTCCAGGCGTGGGGGCTTCAGGGGCAGGGGATGAGCCTCTTCTGCAGTTTGCTTTCCGGGAGGGCCCTGCCGGCTTCCAGAGCTGCCAGGAGGGAAAGCAGCGAGGCCAGTTTCTTTGTCAACCCGGCCGCGGCCGAGTCTTGTCATATTAAGAGACCACAGGTCTGAAGCTTTCTTTTTTAACCATGCGTTTGCTTTTTTCCTCCTACAATTTCCCCGTTAGCACAGACAAGGACCAACCTTCCAGTGAGTACTTTCATAATTTAAGGAGCTCTTCGTCTGTTGGGTATATGTTGAGACAGACACGTAATGAGGAAGAGATGATTGCTGGGGCGCCCACACTTCCTCTGGGGTCCGCTATGTGTGTTTCAAGCCTCCTTGTCCATGTGTCCCTCCTTCTGTCTGTCTGTCTGTCTGTGCATCTGGCTGTTCCTTCCTATGAAACTGCTCATAGAGGTAGAGAGATTTACAATTCCTATCGGTGGGGACTCTGGGGTTGTCACGGGCTCCAGAGCCAGGCAACCTGGGTTCAAACACTAATTCCCTCGTTTATTAGCCACATGAACTTGGGCAAGTGTCTGAACCTGTCTGTGCCGCAGTTTCCTCATCTGTAAAATGGAATTAATAATGGCACCCCCCTCTTGGGCTGGTGGTGAGGCTTAAAAGATACTTTGTCAATGTGCTTGGCAGAGAGTAAGTGCTTAATAGTGATTGTTCACTAATCTGGCTGCTTCTTTTGTGACAGAGCTCGTCAACCAACCGACTGATTGATCCAGACATTTCTTCTTTCATTCATTCACTTGTTAGTCAGTCTGCCTGGCCAGCTGGTCATCTATCCATCCATCCATTCATCCATCCACCCCTGCATCCATCCATCCAGCTACCCCTCCATCCATCAATCCACCCCTCCATCACATCCATCTATCCATCCATTCATCCATCCATCCCAACATCCATCCATCCATCCATCCATCCACCAACCCATCCATCCATCAACCATCCATCCATTCTAACATTTTTCCTCCCTGAACTCTCCCTGCTTAGGACACAGAGCTGTATAGGCAGGGGGTTCTCCAAGGACATCTCACCTGCAAAGGTGGAAATAATGACCTGCAAGGGGCTTCTGAGAACAGGGGCTGAGAAAGCTTGAGTAGAGGAAGGAAGGAGAGAGGAAGTGCAGGGGAGCTGATGGGATGTCTGAGCGTGTGTGTGCGGAGCGTTGGCATGAGGACGTGGGGGTTTCCCAGGAGCAGTGTTTGTTGGGGGGCCACATGAGTCTGGGTCACACAATGAGGAGCAGGGACACGGAGCAGGGTGTCCTTTCTAGCTTGTCCATTCTGTTCTGGCCTGTGTCACCTGGGTAAATTCTCAATTCCTGGCTCCTTCAGGGACACAATTTCACTGAGTACAGCCAAGAGGCCTGGGAGGGACCACTGGTGTTTCCACCATGTTCATTGGTTTACGGGACATTTTTAACATGTAGGATGCTCTCCGCCCTTCACTAGTGAGGGAGCTGAGGCACAGAGAGGTGAAGTGACTTGCTTAGAGTCACACAGCTGCTGAGTGGCAAAATCCAAAGGTGAACTCTTCTCACCGGGTTTGGGTATTCAGTGCCTGAGGACCAGGGTGCCCCGGGGAGGCGTGTTGGCTGGAAATAGCAGGAACGCAGCTTGCAGGAAGAGGGCACTAGTCTGAAGACCTGGCGCCGCTGAGGCTGGCCGGGGCCTGAGCTGCTAAGATGCTTCCGCAGGCATGACTCAGCTGCTCGGGGTGCGGGCCTTTTTCGCGCTGCAGTTTCATAGTCTGGGAGGGCTGGGTGTCCTTACTCTGCTGACACACAAACGATGCGGAGGACACTTGTGGGCCAAGTGTCAGTCCTGGGCTGGTCCCTGCTCAGACCCGTGGTAGCTCCCGGGGACTTGTGGGCGGAGGAGGGACCTGGGGGGAGGCAGGGCAAGTTCCTAGAGGAAGGAATGGTGTCCACAGCAGACAGGGCAGCCTTTAAGTCCTACTGTGTGCCCGGCCACCGTGACACGTGTGTCACCTACTCCTGAACTTGATTTTTGCAACGACCCCACCCTGTAGGTATTTTCAGCCATACTTTACGATGAGGAAACCAAGGCACAGAGACGGGAGGCGAGTCCCTTCAGGCCACACAGCCAGGGGAGCAGTGACTCAGTTCTGTTCTTAAATTCAAGAACCTTGAGCTAAAACTACAGCTCCCTGCAGACTGGTTGTTCTGAGAAACTTTGGTGGGAAAAAGTCCCAGTTTGGCACAGAGATAATAGCATCGTAATGAGGTGTTTATCGGCTCTGTCTGCAGAGGACGTCTTTGATGAATTATTTAAGCTGGCTCCAGAGAAGGTGAATGCTGTGAAAGAGGTAAGGGAGATCAAAGCTCCGAGCATCTCCCCCGCGGCCCGCCCACCCACTGCCCACCCGAGTTTGTATGTGGGGGTGGGGGTGGGGGTCGGGCAAAGGGGAGGGAACCGGGCCCTCGCGCTGCACCTGCTGTGTGCTGGGCGTCACGGGTGGGGCCTTTGGGTGACCTCGAGTGGGAAGGTCACGAACCTGGGGCCCTTTCTTTCCTGAGTAGGCCATCGTGAACTTCGTCAACCAGAAGCTGGACCGCCTGGGTCTGTCGGTGCAGAATCTGGACACCCAGGTGGGGACTCAGCTGCAGGGTCCGGGTAGGGAAGGGCCGTGGGGTGTGGGCAGGGAGAGGATTCTGCAGGGCCCCGCCTTGTGTGGCCTGGGGCACGTCACCTCCCAGAGCCTTGGGGGCGTCCTCTCCAACGGGGGTGCTGCTGTTGGGCGCAGTGGGGGTCCCGTGACGTGGGCGCCGAGGGCTTGGTTTACGCAGTTACTACTTTTCACTGTCGAGTAGCCACGTCTCAGCTCTTCTTTCAAAATTAATCTCAGACTATCAGGTACTGAATAAGAACACGAGGTTTCCCTGCGACATTGCATCCGCTCACGGGTTTATCAAGTTGTGCTGTGCACCAGGCGTGGCTGCGGGTGAGGACACGGCCCTGCGCCTGCAGGCTTCGTGTCGCCCGGAGCGCCGTGGCTGACTCACGCCGAACCGTCCCTGGGCAGGGGCAGGCTCTGACGAGGTCCCCTTCCGCGAGGACGCTGTGCCCCGCAGCTTCCTTCAGCGCAGCGGGGAGCAGAGGACCTGCGGGGGTAACTACCGGCCCAGGGCCTTCAGGGCGGTGACGGAGCCTGCGGGCCCCTGGGTGCATTACCTGCGCGTGGCGGTGTAGGTATCCGGCCACCTAGACTTTGCTTAACTAGGGGCAGGTGGTGAGGCCGGGTCTGGCCACCACATGGCTTCCGGTGATCTCTCTTAGCCGGAGCTGCTGACTTCTCAGACACAGCCTGACTTCAGCTAATGAGGAACCATGGTGTGGCGCCGCCCTTGGAAGCTAAAACTGATAAAGCCCTCACGAGGCGGCCAGCCCGGAGCAAAGCGCTTGGCATACATGAACTTACTGAATCCTCCCAACGACCTCCTTAGGGGGGACTGAAGCCATCCTGTTTTACAGATGAGACCATTAAGGCACAGAGAGGTTAATTAACTTGTCCAAGGTCACACAGATTAAATGGTGGACCTGGGATTTGAACCCAGGCTGCTGAGGCCAGAGTTGGTGCTCCCTCACCACCTCACGTGGTGGCCACCTGAGAAGTCTGTGTGTGATGTCGTGCGGGGACACAGCAGGGGGCAGATAGCAGACTCTCAAGCCAGACGGGCACACGTTGCCCCTGGGCTCTGAGGATGCCTCCTCCACCTCAGCTGTGTGGCCTCGGACCTGGACTTCTCTGAACTTCAGGCTCATCTTTTAAAATGGGTCTAAGGATACCAACCTCATAGAACTGTGAGTAAAAAATGAGGTGACCAGCATCCAGTGTTTCATATATTGCCAGGCACACTGTAGACACCCAATAAATGATACATTTGTGGTTTTATTGTATTTTCTGGGCGTATAAACAGGACGATTTCTTAGGTTTGTATTCTACGTGTTTCATCTTTATCTCTCACTTGGTAAAGTAATGGCATTTGGAGAATAATGGCACATGTGAAGATGTCTTTAGGGACAGCTGGATAAAAGGGGCTATTGAAGTCCCTGGCGTTTGGGTGGTATTACCAGGGAATATTAGCAGAGAAGATTCCAGGCCAAACTAATAACATCAGAACAGACCTAACATGAGCAAATTCCATTAAGGACTTCGCGGGGTAGTTTCCCCCAATATCCGATCTTGTGTCTTGTGTCTTTGAAGAGACTGAGTGGGATTATATTAGCGTACGATGTGCTGGTGCTGGGATGACAGTGTTATCTCTGAGCACACAGACAGAACAGGCAGATATTAACGCGGCCCAGCGAAATGAGCCCGGTGCGAGCTCTGCCTCCTCCTGACGGAGTGATTCTGTCCTTAACCCTGTTTTCTCCAGCGCTTCTGTAGCTCACGGCATGGTGTGTGGTTTAAAGACTGAACTGAGGCCATTTCACAGAAAATGTGAGAGTAGCTCATTGTATGGAGCAGGTGCCACGTGCTAGGCGGCCAAGGCCTGCTCTGAAGGACCGCTGCCCCTCTTTACGACCGTACTGCGAGGTCAGGGAGGTCGTCCCCATTTCTCAGAGAGGAACCTGGGGCTCGGGGAGGTTGTGTGATTTCCGGAGGGCTACGCAGCCTGCAGGAGACACGGTGGGATCCTGCAGGCTCCCTGCCCCCAGCCCCCTCCTTGCAGTTTGCAGATGGAGTCATCCTGCTCCTGCTGATTGGACAGCTGAGAGGTTTCTTCCTGCACTTGAAGGAATTCTATCTCACTCCCAGCTCTCCTGCGGAAATGGTGAGTTTTCTCAAGACATCCCTTGCTGGTCTCCTTCTGAGTGGACAGACATAGGGAACTGGTATGACCAGGCTTTCTTCAGTTCCAGATGAAGTGAGAGGTAGAAGGAAATTTGTTTGTTTGTCCATATGTCTGTCCAGCCATCTACCAGTCTCACCCATCAACCCTCACACCTATCCACTGACTTGCCCATTTGCTCATCCACCCAACTCATCTACTCATTCACCTGCTTGCCCATTCATCGTCCACCTGCCCATCCATCCATCCACCCATTCATCCATCCTTTCATCCATCCATCATCCATCCATCCATCCATTCATCTGCCCATCCATCCATCCATCTATCTGCCCATCTGCCTTTCCCTGCCTATTCATCTGTCTATCCATTTATCCATCTTCCAGTCCATCCATCTGATAATCCATCCATCCATATATCCATTTATCCATCCATCCATCCATCCGTCCATCCATCCATGTAGCTTATCCTCCGTTTTCTGAGGTCCTGCTTGATGTCAGGCCCTGTGGGCCATAAAGACAATCCAATACAGCTCCTGCTTTTGAGGACCCCTCAGTCTACACTTGCTGAACCGTCAGTGATGTACGGTCTTCCAGGGCCGTGATGAAGTGCGTTGGTTCTTGGTGGGTGGCCAGCGGGGGACCTGAATGAAAGTGTGGTTAGTAGAACCTGCAAGAGTCAGGAGAGGCCTTGCATGGGAGGTGGCACTGAAATTGACTAGGCGTGGTTTCCAGAGTTAACTAGGGAGGGCCCCCCAGGGAGGGAACAGTGACAGCAAAGGTTCAGAGGTGGCAGGGGTTCCGGCCTTGTGGGATGAGGAGTCCTTGAATGGATCCTGCAGCCTGGGAGGCAGCGGTGCAGGCTCAGAACTGGCGTGCCATCACCGCCTCCTCGTTCACCGGCCAGAGCAGGCCCTGTGGCCTTGGTGGGGAGGCGGGGGAGCCCTGCGGTGTGCGGTGCCGTGAGGATGCAGAACAGGCCAGTGAGGTGCTCTCCCAAGGGCACAGTGGACGAACGTGCCAGTTCCTCCCTGCATCTGAGCAGGAACCAGCCTCACCCCCATTTCCATCTGAGGACGCTGAGCTCAGAGAGAGTCAGTAAGCTGGTCAACCAGTTTGGGTCAAGGTCAGATTGGCATCCAGGCTCATCTGTCTCCAAAGCCAGAGGGGCCTCCTCGTCTCCTTCCTGGGGAGCCAGGCCGAGCCCCACGGGAGACGGAGGGGGTGACACCCCCAGGGCTGCAGGGACCGTGCGAGGGCTTAGGCGTGTCACGGCGAGGCTGAGACCGGGGCGCTGACCCTTCACCCAGAAGGCAGGACGCTGGCATATGAGCGGCGAGGGAAGGTGGGAGGATGGCGCCCGTGGGACGAATGGCTCCGAGCGGGGACCCTCTGTGTTGCTCGGCTGTTGGGGCTTCCTGGGGCGCCGAGGCCTGTGCTCGACATCTGCACACCCCCAGCCCCAGTACAAGCCAGGGTCAAATGTCCTGACCTCTAAGGCCCCGTGTGCAGCTGGCTTGGTGATGCCGCTGATTTTAGAGCCAGCTTCCGAAGATGAGCCACATTGTAGACGAGGGGAAGCAGCAGCCTCTGCTCAGGCTCCTGAGAATGAGTTTACGGTGCATCGTAGGAAAGCGCAGCTGCGGGAAAGCATCGTCAAAACGCTGAAGAGGTCGTTGTGGCAGAGCGCGGCCCAGCGGCCCTTTCCGAGGGTGGGGCACCTGAGGGACTCTTATCTTGGCAGAGTGGCCTCTGGAAATTGAATTTCTCATTATCAGACCTTCCATGCTGGTGGCGTCTGTGTGAGATTGCCACTTGTTGAGGGAAGAGGAGAAGAGATGACAGAGGAGAGGCACCATCTGCTCGGCAGAAATGAAAACGCTGGGGCCAGGAATCGGTGGCTTCCTCCCACGTGCAATTCCTTCTCCCCAGGGCGGTTTGAATGCATCCTTCTGGGTCGTAACCTTTCCGCGGCTCCGTGGAACGTGATCGTGTTGCTTTCATCACCTCAAACTGTGCATGGAAGAAAAATGACGCTTTGAGTAGAGTGTGGTGAGATGGTTCTGGAGCCCGGGGCAGCGCCTCCAGGTCGGCCTGAGCACTGTCGAGGAGCGGGACCCAGAGAAGCGAGCTCCATCGTTGTCCTAGCGTCGACAGCAGCAGTCCACAAAGTGCGAACTCCTCTATGGCGAGGCCAGAGCGCAGGACACTCAATCAGTATCTTGTTAAATAAGTGAAAGAACGAAGTATTTCCAAAACACTGGACTTGTGAGGGGCTCTGTACAATGGATCCCATGGTCAAATCACTTGGGAAAACATGCACAGTTTCAAAGGCTCAGGAGATGCCATAATGTATTCAAGGCTCTGAGAAGTCCTGCAGCGAAGGACTTCCACATGACTTGGTGGAAGCCAGCCTTGGCGGAAGCCAGCCTTGGCGTCTCGTTCTCACTCTGACCTTTACTCTCTGTGCATCCTGTGAATACTGTTCATGACAAGAATGTGAATAACAGTGACAGTTGCAGCCCTTATTTTCTAGAATTTTCCAGTCTCGGAGAAGACTTGGGGACATAGTGACGGGATGAGTGATGGAGGTCTGACTGACTCACTCTGAGGTTTCCTTCCACCTGGTCTGGACATCCCCAGAGGTGTGTCCCACCTGCTTGGGAGCATTGCTCCTCTGTGACAGCCTTGGCTTATTCTTGTCCAGCTACAGAGCAGACAGCTCTGCTGGGCTGATGACCAGCCTCTGCCGCTCCCTCTCTGTCATCTTGGACCTACCCCCAGCTCAGCCACTCTGTCCATGTGATGCTCCAACACCAACTGTCCCCAGGAGAAGGATGCTCCCTCTGCCTTCCAAATCCCTGTGGTCCTGCGGCCACCAGGGAGCCGGCTGGCACGAAGGTCTCCAGCTCCGTGCCCTGGGAACAGTGGGAGTCCCTGCAGGTGGCTGCGGGTGCTCCCCTGGCCCCACCCTGTGTCCTTGGACCAGGGCTGTGGCCCACCCTTTCCCTCTCAGAGAGAGTTCTTTCTCGGGGGCTTCGGAGACCCACACATCTCACTTCCCAGCCCTTGTGGGAGCCCGGGCACTGGGAATTTGTAAGGATGCCCTGGCTGAGGCCAGCCTCCTACTGTGCCTTCATTATTCCAACTTCAGATCTTGCTTTGTACTTTCAATTCTGTCTCCATCATCCCATTCAACCCGCACGGCAGCTTGGAGAGGCAGCTGGAAGATATGCTATTTAAGACCAGGAGACAAAGGCCCAGGCAGGACGTGTGACTTGTCGACATGTGACTTGTGACCTGATGGGGGCTGGTGCACAGACATCCAACCCAGATCTGCCAGACCTACCAGGAGGTGACCGGCGGTGGCCTCGGCAGAGCTGGCCTCCTCAGATGGGCCTCCCTTGTCTGCTGCTCAGCCAGCCGGGCCTCTGGGCCCCTGGCTAGATTGCCATGGGAACTTTCTGGCCTGTTTGAAGCAGGCTTCGGGGCCGGGATGGCTGGTAGATGGGAAGATGGGACGAGCCCGGCCGGCCAGTCTGGGGCATCCGGCCTGCACGGAGGCCCCGTGAGTGGCTGAGCCCAGTGGCTGCTTGAGGTCACAGTGAGTCGGGGGCTCAGCTGGCTTTAGTCCTCGCTGGTCCTGCTTCGCCCCATACCCTCTCTCCACCACACCAGGCGGCTGCCCAGAGCAGGGCAGGGGTCTTTTCAGTTGTGTCTGAGGCCCCAGGGAGAAACCAGTTCTGAAAAGGCAGGACTCCGCTAACAGAAGAGCTGCTCTCAGCCGGGGCTGCCGGGGCTCCCTGGGGCTCCCCACCCAGTGTCCCTTATCAAGGCACAGGGGAAATGGTGGTGACCCCACTTTGCAGGGAGCAAGTGGAGGCCTGGAGGCGCCAAGGGGCTTGCTTGAGGTTACCTGGGGACCGAGTGGGGATCTGAACCTGGGTGGGCCTGACTGAGGCCCAGGCACCCTCCCCGGGGCTGGAGGCAGCACCAGGCAGAGGGGCGGCAGCAAGGACAGGCACCTGGGCGGGGGCGGCTCCTCCAGCCCCCAGCCCGCTTTGCACAGGCGTCAGAGTAAGACAGACCCAGTTCTGGCACTTTCTGTCCCGGGAGTTCAGATGAGCCCTGTGGAGACTCTGAGCCTCGGTTTCCTCCTCTATGCTTAATCTGTGGAACTCAGCTGTTTCTGCGGGAGTCTCTGTTGCTCATGGGTTTAGGGACTACATCCAGAAAGGTCAGAATGAACCTATGTTCCTTCCTCTGGCTAAGTCCCCTCACCGGGCAGGACTCACCCTCAGGTGTCACCTCCACCAGGAAGCCTTCCCTGATTTCTGGGCTGTGTGCCTTCATCGGGGACGGCCTTTACCATGAAAGGTGGCCCCCTTGAGGCATGCTGGGTGCTGGGTGGGGCTCCTCATCTTGCCAACATCTGATGGGGTCTTGTGATCGTAGCTGCACAACATCACCCTGGCCCTGGAGCTGCTGAAGGATGAAGGTCTTCTCAACTACACCGTCAGCCCTGAAGGTGCGTGCAGCGGCCCCATTCCTGGGCAGCCAGAGTGGGCCGCAGGGTGTGGGGACGGACATGTTGGTGCAGCCTCTTGCCTAGCATCGTGGATAATGAATGTTTGTTGAGTTTTCCTGGGGGTAAGGGGTGTGCCCTCAATTTCCACCCACCCTAGTGCAGGGCAACCCTGGGGAGAGGGGATGAAGGACCAAGATCCCCGGGGGGGGGGCTGTCCAGAGAGGTGAGACCTTGAGGGGGACCCCACAAGAGGGTGTAGGGGAGGACTGGACAGGAGTTGGTGGTGGCAGGGCCCACGTGAGGGGTCCTGGAACTTGGGCAAACTGTCCTGGTCTGCCAAGAATTCTCCTGGGGTTAGCACTGAAGTCCGGTGTCCCAGGAAATCCCTCGGTCCCGGGCAGACCCGGACGGTCGGCCGCCGCCCGCACAGGCCTGAGTGCTGCCCTGCCCTCCCCCGGCCTGCAGACATCGTGAACAAGGACTCCAAGAGCACACTGCGGGTCCTCTACTGCCTGTTCTGCAAGCACAAGCTGGAAGAAAACACGGACGGGATGCCCCAGGGACCCCCCAGTTAACTGCCACTGCCTCCCAAAGCTGCCTCTCGGAGCCTGCCTGCAGGGCCCAGCTGGAGGGCCCGAGGGCCGCAGAGGGATGGTCCCGCGGTCTAGCTAGCCCTGGGGACTCCCCTGTTTTCCTGTGTGTCTGTGGCATGCCTGCCCCACCACCCCCTTCCCTGTCTCCTGTTTCCATCCTTCTGAACATCTTTGAACCCACTAGGCGTGGCTCCGTTCTGAGTCAACCTCTGGCCTTGCTCAGTTTATTTTAACAAAGGTATTTCTGGGAAGGATTCTGGGAGCCCTCTGGTGTCCTGAGAAGGACCCTTAAATATGCACAAATATGAGTGGACCCTCCACGCAGGCCCTCTCCCCACTGGGAGGGCATGGGAGGTGCTCAGGGTCCAGTCTCTGAGGACACTTCCCAGGACAGTGGTGCTGACCTGCCCTGGGGCTGAGGATCTGGTCCTGCGAGCAGAGGGTCTCTGGGTGTCAGGGCTGAGGGCCAGAGGGACCCCTGCCTTCCCACACTCAGCTGCTGCTGCCCTCTGGACTCTCACAGAGGGTGAAGGGCCCCGAAGTCACCCTCCAGAGGCAGTTCCTCATGGCTCCAAAACCAGGCCCCTGTGCCCCTCGGGGAAGTTAATTCAGTTACTTGGTGGAGGAACTGTGACCCGGGCCCACACTTACGGGCGTGATGGTGAGCTTTGCCCAAACGTCACAGAGAAGAAATCTTTGTGGTTGAGTAGTGGGTCAGACATCTCCCAGTCTGTCCCCAAGGAGCTGCTGTGTTGCTCCCTTTGCCATGTGTATTTCTCAAAAAAAAAAAAGGAAAGAAATTAAAAATGTCCTTGTGGGAAGACTGAGCAGGGGGTCCCAGGAGCTGACAGCTGGTGGGAAGCAGCCTGGAGGAGGCACAGCGGGTGGGGAGAGGCTGGCAGGGGAGGGCTGGGTGGCTGGTGCCGGGCCCCTCCCCTGCTCTCCCAGCTCCAAGCCCCCGCAGAGGACAAAGCCCACTGGACCCAAGGTCATCACAGTTTGACAGCCTTGGATTTGGGGAGGGGCCTTGGGGCACTGGCTGGCGTGGGCCAGGCCATCTTTGCCAGACCAGCTGCTAGAGCTTGGAGGATGCTCTACAGGGAGTGACATCAGGAACCCTTGGAGCTGATGTCTGGGTGTGAGATGAGCTTGAGTGGGCTTCCCTCCACCCCACCCCCATCCCTGGTCCACCTGCTCCCTTCACCTCCTGATTCACAGGTAATTAGGTGTAGATGAGGCCATGAGGGTGGGGCCCCCATTATAGGATTAGTGTCCTTGTAAGAAGAGAAAGAGAGAACAGAGCTCTCTCTGCCATGTGAGGGCACAGCAAGAAGGTGGCCGTCTGCAAACCAGGAAGAGAGCCCTCCCCAGGAACCAAATCATCTGGCACCTGCATCTTGGACTTCCTAGATGCCAGAACTGTGAGAAATAAATGTCTGTTTTTAAAGCTGCCCAGTCTATGGTATCTTATTATAGCACCCAGAGCTGACTAATACGGATTCTCAATACAATTAGTTATTAGGGAAATAAAATTAAAACCACAATGAGATCCCACTATACGTTCTTCAATTTAGAATGGCTAAACTGAAGAGACAGACAATATCAAGTGTTGACAAGGATGTTGAACAGTTAGAATTCTCATACATCTCTGGAGGGAATACAAAATGGTACATTTACTTTGGAAAACAGTTTGGCAGTTTTTCATAAAGTAATACATACATTCACCATATGACTCAGCCATTTCACTGCTAGGTATTTATCCAAAAAAAAAAAAAAAGAAAAAAGAAAGAAAACATATGGCTATACAAAGACTTACACACGAATAGCAATACTGTTCATAAAAACCAGACTGGAGAACCCAAATGTGCATCGCTGGCAAAGGCAGAAACAAATCAAAGCTTGTCCATAGAGAGGGGTTCTGCTCAGGGACAAAGAGGAAAGGGGTAGTAACACAAACCCAGCGAGGATGCTGTCAGCAGCGTCAGGCTAAGTGAAAGAAATGAGACAGAAGGCTACCAGCTTGTAAGAAATTCTAGAAAAGGCAGAACTCTGATTTCCAGGGCTGGGGACTGGACCAGGCAACTGACAGCAGAGAGGCCCAAGGGAACTCTGGGGTGATGGGAAAGTTCTCCACATAATGGATGTGGTGGTGGTTACGTGACTGTACGCATTTGTCAAAATTCATCAAGTTGTACACTTAAAATTGGGAAACCTTTTGTAGATTGTTCCTCAATAAAGCTATACAAATTAATTGAAACATTTTCTAATTTGCTGTCAAACCCAACAAAGGTGAGAATTGCCAACCAGGAGAGGGAGAGGCCTGTCTAAGGAAGGTTGATTTCACACTTTGGCGGAGCCTGGTGTGAAGACGGAAGTGGGGCCCCGGGGGGAC